GATATCTAGTCGGGCCTGTCCCTCTACAGGGGAAGTATTCAAACATTATAAAAATAGTCGGGGGATTATTACCTTGATAGGTTTCTAGTTGACTCAAAAGAGCTCACAGATCACTCCACAGGGGGGTCCGGGCAGGCGTTGGGAGTTGCCGGCCGGGCCTGTGCCGGGCTCGTTTTTCACCAACAGTCACACACTTCGTGCTCGTCGACCTCTCAGAACCCCATTCCCAGGCCACATTCTGAATAACCGGATGCAACAGTCACACACTTGGTGCTCTTCGACTTCCCAGAACTCCATTCCCGGGCCACATTTTGGAATGCCCGGAGCCAACTGTAGGCCACTTCGTGCTCTTCGACTTCCCAGAACTCCATTCCCGGGCCACATTTTGAATGCCCGGAGCCAACTGTAGGCCACTTCGTGGTCTTCGAGTTCCCAGAACTCCATTCCCGGGCCACATTTTGAATGCCCGGAGCCAACTGTAGGCCACTTCGTGGTCTTCGAGTTCCCAGAACTCCATTCCTGGGCATGATTTTGAATGCCCGGAGCCAACTGTAGGCCACTTCGTGTTCTTCGAGTTCCCAGAACTCCATTCCCGGGCCACATTTTGAATGCTGAGGCAGGCTGATGCTGAGGCTGAGGCTGAGGCAGGCTGAGGCTGAGGCCGAGGCTGAAGGCAGACTGAGGCTGAGGCTGAAGCAGGCTGAGGCTGAGGCTGAGGCTGAGGCTGAGGTGAGGCTGAGGCTGAGGCTGAGGCAGGCTGAGGCTGAGGCTGAGGCTGAGGCTGAGGCTGAGGCTGAGGCTGAGGCTGATGCAGGCTGAGGCTGAGGCAGGCTGATGCAGGCTGAGGCTGAGGCAGGCTGAGGCTGAGGCCGAGGCTGAAGGCAGACTGAGGCTGAGGCTGAAGCAGGCTGAGGCTGAGGCTGAGGCAGGCTGAGGCTGAGGCTGAGGCAGGCTGATGCTGAGGCAGGCTGAGGCTGAGGCTGAGGCTGATGCAGGCTGAGGCTGAGGCAGGCTGAGGCTGAGGCCGAGGCTGGAGGCAGACTGAGGCTGAGGCTGAAGCAGGCTGAGGCTGAGGCTGAGGCAGGCTGAGGCTGAGGCTGAGGCAGGCTGATGCTGAGGCAGGCTGAGGCTGAGGCTGAGGCTGAGGCTGAGGCTGAGCAGGCTGAGGCTGAGGCTGAGGCAGGCTGAGGCTGAGGCTGAGGCAGGCTGATGCTGAGGCAGGCTGAGGCTGAGGCTGAGGCTGAGGCTGATGCAGGCTGAGGCTGAGGCAGGCTGAGGCTGAGGCCGAGGCTGAAGGCAGACTGAGGCTGAGGCTGAAGCAGGCTGAGGCTGAGGCTGAGGCAGGCTGAGGCTGAGGCTGAGGCAGGCTGAGGCTGAGGCAGGCTGAGGCTGAGGCTGAGGCTGAGGCTGAGGCTGAGGCAGGCTGAGGCTGAGGCTGAGGCTGAAGGCAGACTGATGCTGAGGCAGGCTGAGGCTGAGGCCGAGGCCGACGGCAGACTGAAGCTGAGGCTGAAGCAGGCTGAGGCTCAGGCAGAGGCAGGCTGAGGCTGAGGCTGAGGCAGGCTGATGCTGAGGCAAGCTGAGGCTGAGGCTGAGGCTGAAGCCGAGGCCGACGGCAGACTGAAGCTGAGGCCGAGGCTGAAGGCAGACTGATGCTGAGGCTGAAGCAGGCTGAGGCTGAGGCTGAGGCAGGCTGAGGCTGAGGCAGGCTGAGGCTGAGGCTGAGGCAGGCTGAGGCTGAGGCTGTGACTGCGACTGCCGTTGCCACTGCGACTGTCATCGCGAATGCGACTACGACTGCGAGAACAGCAGAATTCTACAACTGGATTCTCATCTGAATCTTAAGGGGAATGCTTCCAGATATGCTCCTACACATCGCTGTTAGGTTGCTTTGCCGGGATAATGTTTTTAGTATTTTTGAGCATTTGGGGGGTATTGTTTGTGCTAGTTTTCTATTGCGAAGGCCTTACGGCCGTTGCCGCCGACTCTGAGAGCGACGAAGATGAGAGCGACGAAGATGAAAACGAGGGGGGGGGGGAAGGGTGGAGGAGGTGGATGAGAGAGGAGGAGGGGGAGAAGGATGTGGAGGAGAAGCAAGAGGAGGAGAAGGAGGCAGAGGAGAGCAGGAGGAGGGGGAGCAGAGGGGGGGGAGAGAGAGAGGAGGAGGAGGAAAGGAGGAGAGGAGGAGGAGGAGAGGAGGAGGAGGAGGAGGAGGAGGAGGAGAGGAGGAGGAGGAGGAGGAGGAGGAGGCCAGAGGCTTTATTGGGACAGCCTGTGTCTCTCCTGAGGCCGTCTTGGGCCGTCCAGGGCTCCTCTTGCGCCGTCTCGAGGCACTCTTTGAGGCCTCATGGGCAATTTGGGGCTCTCCTGGGCTGTCTTGGGGCAGTTCGGAGGCCCCTTGGGAGCCGCTTGGGGCCTCTTGGGGCTTCTTCGGGGTCTCTTGGGGGCCTCTTGGGGCTGAGAGCTCGAAATGTCCGTTCGGGTCCCCCGTCTGGGCACTCCTGGAGCCGTCTTGGGGGCCTCTTGGGCCGTCTTGGAAGCGTCTTAGGCCGTCTTGGGGCCCTCTTCGGCCGTTAGGGGACCCTCTTGGGGGCCTCTTGGGCCGTCTCGAGGCGATCTTGGGGGCCTCTTGGGCAGTCTTGGCGCGTCGGGAAGCGGAAGAGGCAAGAACTCCAAAATCTTTCAAAAACGTATGTGAAATCCATGAATTTTGACTCTTGGGGCTCTCGTGAGAAAGCTCCTGGAGGCCTCGTAGGGGCGCTTTGCAGTCCTCTTGGGCCGTCTGGAGGCCGTCAAGGCGTCTTGGACAGATCGTTCGGCGATTCGGGGTTCTCTTGGACTGTTTTTGGGGCCTCTTGGGGCACTCTTGGCCCGTCTTGGTGCTTTTTTGGGCTCCGGAACTCCCACAGGGGGCGTCGTATCTGAACCCCCCCTGGGGGCGTCTGACCTCCCCCCCCCCGGACCGCCCCCCCCGGCGGGGGAGGGATCGAAGGGAAGGGGCTTCCCTTCGACTCAATTGCGACTTTGCTTATTTTCGCTTGGGCTGGCGCGCTGAGGAGGTCCCTGGGAAAGGGGGGAGCTTCGACGAGACCAGGGAAAGCGGGGAGGCGGGGAAAGGGAAGGACAGAGACGACGACCAACGAATGACGGAGATGACGACTCGAACGGACAGGCCCCTCACACACGCCGACAGGGTCGGCGGAGTTTTCGCCCAAAACCCCCCTGAGGAGGAGGAGGAGGAGGAGGAGGAGGAGGAGGAGGAGAAGGAGGAGGAGGAGGAGGAGGAGGAGGAGGAGGGGATCCGGGGCCCTTCTTGGAGCCTCCTGGGCCCTCCTGGGCGCTCGGGCCGCTCGCGGCCCCCCCCCCCCTTCCGGGCGGTGGAGGGCAGCAGGACAGGCAGATTCGTCCTCCTCCTCCTCCTCCTCCTCCTCCTCCTCTTGCTCCTCCCTCCTCCTCCTCCTCCTCCTCCTCCTCCTCCTCCCTCCTCCTGCTCCTCCCTCCTCCTCCTCCTCCTCCTCCTCCTCCTCCTCCTCTTCCTCCTCCTCCTCCTCCTCCTCCTCCTCCTCCCCTCGTGGCCTGTGCACTCCTCCTCCTCCTCCTCCTCCTCCTCCACGCCCAGAGGGCAGGGGGGATCTCGAGCTGCAGGATCACATCTCGTGGGGCAGTCTCGGGCGAAACGCCTGGCACACCCGACCCCACACGTCTGGGGGTGGGGCGAGGAGGAGGAGGAGGAGGTGCTTCTGAAGAACACGGGTGGAGGAGGAGGATGAGGATGAGGATGAGACAGTACTAATCATACGGATAATATTATTACCGTCAATATCATTAATATTCAGAACAACGATAATAAGAGTGATGTTACTAGTAGTACTAGAAATGCTACTACTGACATTCACACTTCTAAGAATACCAGTACTTTTAATTATACCAATCGTATTTCTACTCGTATATCGCATATCTATACATACTACTACTCGTAGCAATAGTACGAACACACATAATAATAATCATAATACTGCTATTGCGAATAATCATATTTTCAATACGACTAGTATGACCACTACTATAAAGAAGAGGGGGAGGAGGAGGCGGAGGAGGAGGAGGAGGAGTAGGAGTAGGACGAGTAGGAGGAGGACGAGGAGGAGGATCAGGAGGGGGAAGAGGAGACGTAGGAGGAGGAATAAAAGGAATACTACAAGTAATACGCGTAGTACTGATAATACGAATAAGCATACGAGACAGAGACATAGCAATAATAAGAAGGCGGCACATACTAATACTACGAGTAATATTATTCTTAATCGCAGCAGTCATAGCCACAAGCATAATGCTAAAGGCAAGACTCACAGTGCTAATACTATTAGTAATGGTAATACTAACAGTGCTAATGCTCTAGATATAAAATTCAGCATGTAACGGCAATCACGAAGACGGAGACGCATGATCTCAATACTATCCATAGTAAGAGCTGTAGTGCTACTACCAATTATATCAATATTAAGAGTAATTCGAATACTCATACGAGCACTAATACTAAGATGCAGACCAACATAATTATGGCTAATAATAGTTAGAAGAATAGTCAGGGTAATACTGGTAGTACTGCTACTACTGATAATACGTGCAGTCGCAAGACGGAATACATTCAGACATATACTATGGTTCCTGATCTTAAGAAGAGGAACGACACTATTGCCAATACTAAGAGACATATTATACACACTAACACAACACCAATAAACATACGAATAGTCTTTTTGAGAAGAAGAAGACAGCTGCTATACCATTCAGAAGAATTTTACTAGTAATAATATGAAGAAGTACAATTATAATATTAATCATTGAAAACAATAATACTACGAGGATTAGGAAGACGAGGCGGAGGAGGATAACTCGGAGGAGGAGGAGGAGGAGGAGCAGGGGAGGAGAGGGCGCAGAGCGGGAAAAGGACTCCTTTTACGCGATGTCTTTCGCCATACATGGAGCCCGTGGGGCGACAGGACTCCCACTTGAGGGAGCTCGCCCACCGGAATCCGTTTGGCGTCCTCAGGGTCATGATGGCGGAGGCTCCCCTGGCGGCACGAAGGGAAGGAAGAGTTGGAAAAGGCGGTTCCCATGGGTGGAAAGGGTTGTTGTTTCACACGATGCTGCTGCTGGTGACATTGCTGACTGTGGTGTTTCTCCAATCAGAGCTTGCCTCTGTAGGGGTCCTAGCCGATTCATATTGTTAGGTTAGCTGTGGCGCCGATTTCGGCGGCACCGGGCACCCGGGCACCCGGGCACCCGGATGCCTGGGTGACCAGGTGCCTGGGTGCCCAGGTGCCAGGGTGCCCGGTAGCACCATGGCCCTATAGCCCTATAGTTTTATAGCCTTATAGCCCTATAGCGTTGCAGCCCTATAGCCTATAGCCCTCTAGCCCTCTAGCCCTGTAGCCCTATAGCCTTATAGCCTTGTAGCCTTATAGCCCTATAGCCCTGTAGCCGCATAGCCCCATAACCCTATAGCCATATAGCCCCATAGCCCTATAGCTCTATAACCCTATAGCCATATAGCCCTATAGCCCTATGGCCCTATTGACCAAGAGCCTTATAGCTCTATAGCCCTATAGCCCCATAGCCCTACAGCCCTAAAAAGATTATGATGTGAATTTCTTCCTTGTCATAATATTTGGTTAGCTGTGGCGCCGATTTCGGCGGCACGCCCGGGTGCCCGGGTGCCCAGGTTCCCAGGTGCCCGGTAGCTATATAGCCCTATAGCTTTATAGCCTTACAGCCTTATATCCCTATAGCCCTATAGCCCTATAGCCCTACAGCCCTGTAGCCCTATAGCCCCATAGGCCTATCGCAATATAGCCCTATAGCCCTAGAGCCCTTTAGCCCCATAGCTCTATAGCTCTATAGCCTTATGGCCATATAGCCCCATAGCCCTATAGCCCTATAGCCCCATAGCCTTATAGCAAGATAGTCCTATAGCTCTATAGACCTATATCCACAGAGCCCTTTAGCCCCATAGCTCTATAGCTATATAGCTCTATAGCCCTATAGCCATATAGCCCCAAAGCCCTATATCCCTATAGCAATACAGCCCTATAGCCCTATAGCCCTATAGCCTAGCCCTGTAGCCCTATAGCGCCAGAGCCTTATAGCCCTATAGCCCTATAGCCCTGTAACCCCATTGCCCTATAGCCCAACACATATTCAGATCTCTTATGATGATGATGATGATGATGATGATGATGATGATGATGATGATGATGATGATGATGATACTGATGATACTGATGATGATGATGATGATGATGATGATGATGATGCTGCCTATGATGATGATGATGATGATGATGATGGTGGTGATGATGATGATGATGATGATGATGATGATGATGATGATAATGCCGATGACGACGACGATACTCATGATGCTAATCATGCTGATGACAACGATGATGATGCTGACGATGATCATGATGATGATAATGATGCTGCTCATGCTGATGATAATGCTGGTGATGATGATGATGATGTTGTTGATAATAATAGTGCTGCTGCTGATGATTCTGGTGCTGATGATAATTACGGCGATGATGACGATGATGGTGATGCTGATGATGCTGATGCTGATGAGGATGATGATTATGATGAAGGTGATGGTTATGCTGATGCTGATGATGACGATGGTGAGAGCGATGACGATGATGATGATGACGAGGATGATGATGATTATGCTGATGCTGATGATGATAATGATGATGATGCTGATGACGATCATGACTATTTTTGATGATGACGGTGACGTTGACGATGCCGATGCCGATGACGATGACGATGATGACGATGCTGATGATGCTGATGATGATGATGATGATGATGATGGCGATGCTGCTGATGATGATGATGCTCATGCTCCGGCTGCTGATGATGCTGAGAAGGATTCTGATGCTGATGATGGTGCTGATGCTGATGCTGATTCCGCTGATGATGATTCTGCAGAAGAAGTATATTATGATTCTTGTCATTGTTATGGTGGTGGTGGTGGTAGTGGTGATGGTGATGGTGGTAGTGGTAATAATAATGATGATGCTGATGATGCTGATCATGATGATGATGCTACTGGCTATGATGATGCTTATACTGATGATGATATGCTGCTGATGATGATGCTCTTGATGCTGATGTAAATGATGCTGATGTTAATGATGCTGATGCTGCTGCTGATGATGATGATTCTGATCATGATGATGCTGATGATGATGACGCTGATTATGATGATGCTGCTGATGATGATATTAATGATGCTGATGCTGCTGATTTTGATGCTGCTGCTGCTGACGATGTTAATGATGCTGATGCTGCTGATGCTGATGATGATGGTGGTGATGATACTGTTGCTGCTGCTGCTGCTGCTGCTGCTGATGATGATGATGATGATGATGATGATGATGATGATGATGATGATGACCACTCGGTGTGCTCTCCTGAGACAGAGTCGCGCCTTGTTTGAATGGCTAAGATGGATGCGTTGGGTGGGAGGCGGAGTCGGGGAGCGCTCTCCAGAGATCTCTGGGGTGAGGGGGAAAAACGCTTGGACAGTGGTTCGCCCTCTCCATCAATAGGTGGGCGAACTTTCACTCTGAAGTGGTACACCCTCGTACCTTACGGCTGAACCGAGTTCGTGTGGGGGGGCATCAGGGCTTGTGGATGTTTTGACAGGAAGTCTAAGATTTCATGGGACTTCTCCCTCAGTGTCTACGGGATTTTCAATGTTAGGCATCGAAGCATCATGAAGTAAGGGAGCTTCCGCTCTGAAGTGTTAGTCATCTGGCTGCATTTGGATTTGCCGAGTGCTGATCGAACAGTGATATGCACCGCTGGAGGAGAGGCAGGAGGGAGGAGGTAGGGAGATGATGAGGAGCTGGGAGGAGGGGAGAGGGAGAAGGAGGAGCAGCAGGAGGGGAGAAGGAGGAGGAGGAAGAGGAGGAGCAGGAGGAGGAGGAGGAGGAAAAGGGAAGGAGGAGGAGGAGGAGGAGGAGGAAGAGGAGGTTGAGCAGGAGGAGAAAGATCACAATGACAATGTATTGGCCTGCCTCCAACGGTACACCATCGGGACACCAATCGAATCGGCAACCGGTATAATTCCAGGACGCCACCAGGACACCATCGGAATCGGGGCACCTATCGGGACACCACCGGGAAACCGTCGAGAGACCATCGAAACACGACGGGGGCACCATCATGACACCATTCGGGACACCAGTCGGGATATCCACGGAATAATATTCGGGACACCAATCAGGACACCGACAGGACATCGACTGCCCCATGAGGCACAAGAGGGCGCCCAAGATAAACTCCACGAGGTCACCACGAGGCGAACATGGCAGAGTTCTTTGTCGGTTAGTGATGCATCTAAACGTTCTTGCCGTTTCGTGGATTTCATGCTCGGGGATTGCCGAATGCGCCCCCAAGATCTCCCCATGACAGTCGAAGAAGCCCCAGAAGAGCTCCAAGATGGCCCATCTCCGGGGGGGGGCGGGGGGGGCGGTCCGTGGGCTCGCGGTCGTCGCGTCGTCCTCCGCACGAATGCGACGACGTACGACGACGTACGACGACGTACGACGACATGACGATTTTCGTCGAAGTTCGACAAGGAGCACGCTGGCACCTGGAGACGCAAGACGGCTCAAGATGCGCCTAAGAAGGCACAAGAGGGTTCCAAGACTGCCCCAAGAGGGGCCAAACAGGGCGAACACGAACCGGAAACCAAAGCATTCCGCCCCCAGAAGCCCTCGGGAAGCCCAAGCGGCCCGCAGACAGGAGGGAGGAGGGAGGAGGGAGGAGGGAGGAGGGAGGAGTGAGGAGGAGGAGGAGGAGGAGGAGGAGGAGGAGGAGGAGGAGGAGGAGGAGGAGGAGGAGGAGGAGGTCCTCGTTCCTCCGAGGGCCCCCGAGGGGCCATCTGAGGAGTCCCGCGCTCCAGGAGGCGCTGGCCGCGCACAACGTCCCAGGAGGCGCCCCAGGCGGAGGAGTAGGAGGAGGAGGAGGACAAACAGCAATATCAATGATACTACGAAGCATGACACTCATACTCATATTCACAATGTGAAGAAGAATTATTTCCAGGACACATAATAAAACTAAATCAGTACTCGTACGTTCAAGAATGCGAATTATGCCAACACATTAAATATAATGATACAGGTGAAACAACAACCCACTCCCAATCTTTCTAGGGCTATAGGCCTATAGGGCTATAAGGCTATAAAGCGTATAGGGCTATAGTGCTACAGGGCTGAAGGGCTATAGGGCTATAGGGCGATTGGGCTGTAGTGCTATAGGGCCATAATGCTAAAGGGCTACAAGGCTACAAGGCTATATGGCCATACGGCTACAGGGCTACAGGGCTACAGGGCTATAAGGCTATAGGGCTTTAAGGCTGTAGAGCTATAGGGCTATAGAGCTATAGGGCTATAGGGCTATAGGGCTATCAGGCTGTAGGGCTACAAGGCTATAAGGCTATAGGGCAATACGGCTACAGGGCTACAGGGCTACAGGGCTATAGGGCTATAGGGCTATAGGACTACAGGGCTATAGGGCTACAGGGCTATAGGGCTGTAGGGCTATGGGGCTAGAAGGCTATAGGGCTATAAGGCTATAGGCACCGGGGCACCCGGGCACCCGGGCGGGCCGACGAAATCGGCGACGCAGCTAACCTAATTATATGAATCCGTTAGGACCCCTACAGGGGCAAGCTCTGATGGGGGGAGTACGAATGCCGACGCGAATCATTAACATAAAAGAATCATACCACTCAGAACAGTCCTATTAAGAATACTGCCCATACCAATCAGCAATCAATTTACCAATCATACGAACACTCGAAATATTAATAATGACATATAATAGTAACACTGCGAACCATAATCGCAAACCACGTGCGAATACCAATTATAATGATACAGATCGCAATAATAACATTCGTAGCCGTAATAGTACGACTACTCGTGTTAATACAACTAATAGTTTGGATGACATTCACACGATCACGAAGAAGAGTAAGACGGCTAAACAC